GAGCTCAGAAAAACAAGCTGAAATGTTAAATATCAAAGCAGTTTTCTCTGGATGGTAGAACTGTGGGTGATTTTTGTATTCTAGTGTTTTGCTGCATTTTCCTGATTTTCTAGGAGGATTATTAATTTTTTTATTCAGACTTTCTACAGTCTTTTAAAAAAGTCTCCACTGCTTTTAGGAAAAAAAGGATACAGTGCAAGGATACAAACCCGCTGCAACTTATCCTTAGCTTATATTTTCCTGTGATCTCCACACTCATTTCTGTAGCCCTTCTGGTCTTTTATTACGATGCCAGAAATATCCGCAAATAAGGCATCTCTACCTGCGTGCCTCTGCTTGCCTCTCACACTCGCCCTCTGCCTGCATGCGCCCCTCTCTCCTGCCTCGCCCCATGCCCAGCTGCTCCGGACCACCCAGCAACCACCTACTCTTCCTTCAAGTCAAACCCAGCTGCGTCTCCACCAGCTCTCCTGCAGACGCGGCTGCTTCCTCGTCTATGTTTCCAAAGCACTTCTTGCACCACATTCTGGTGATTTACTTCAGTCTCTCTCCTCTGAGGCTTCACGGGCTGATCTTGTTCATTCCTGTTTCTAGCGCCCAGGCGAGTGAGCCCGGCATGCTGCACTTTCAAGTTGAACAACAGGTGATATCTTCAGGTGTGGGCTCTCTGAAGTTCATTGTCTTTTCATTTTTCCTTCTTAACCTTTTCAACATACTAAACAGAGTTGCCACAAAATAAAGAACTTCCTAAATTCACCATTTGGTGCTAAAGGAATAAAGGAAAGCTATGTTCAAGACTTCTATGACCCACCCACACGGTCAGTGAGGTAACTTTTCCATTATCCGACACATCCGAAACCCCTAACCGCTGGATGGGGCTTGCGCTGTAATCGGAGCAGCGGCCTCGCTGGTGAGGCTGGACAATTTCTCCTTGTGCTGGTACCTTCCTGGAATCGAAGCTCACTGACAGGAGAAGAAATGGCTGAGGAGTCACTTATTATTTGTCCTCACATCTGGCAAGACTTAAATAGTCTCCCTCCTTTATTTTTCAAAAAGGGAACTGGGAGAAATTTAAAACCTTGCAAAGAAAGAACTTGTAGCCCATCGAAAGAAATGGATAACCAAGATAAGCATTACAGTTTACTCCCAGGAAACTGTGATACCTCCCATTATAGGCTGCAAAATCAGCAACTTAAAGAATTACAATTAAATGGGGGGAAATGAAGGAAAACGAGGGAAAGTGAGTTAACTTGGATTACACTACTGGTATTCTATGTGCAATTTACTTCTCAGTTTGATTCTGTCATTCTTTTTCCCTGGGAGAGGATTATCTTTAGTTATACTTGAGTATGTTCAAAGGTTAAAACCTGTGAGGCTTGTATGAAAATATAAGCAAAATGGGATTTTAAAAGTCAGAAATAACAAGGAAATAAACATTTACATTTTTAAAAAATGTCTCTCTGTATCTCTACTCTAGATACCTTCACTGATACCTCACTTTAGAATTTTTTCATTTTTGGTGAAATGAAGGATTAATTTTTAAAAAATCTGTTACAGTCTTGCTAAAACGGCTATTAAGAGTTTTACTGCACTGCTACTTTAAGTTTTGGTTGCCAATAACAAACTAGTTATTTATATAAACTTTAGTCTTAAAAAACATACGTCTATATGTTTATATTTGGCTTGCTATATGAAACACAGAGGAAGGAAACACTAAGTAAATATTATAAACATCTACCAGTACAACCTGTTACAGTGCATCTTGGGTATTAAAAGGCCTATGAACACTGGCCAAAGAAGTGTTCATTTATGTGGCACGATCAATGAACACAGCATTCCGTATTAGTGCATTTCCACTAAAGCTCACCTACTGAAGCCTACAAATCTGGGAAAAGGTAACTATTTTCAAGTGAAATTCATTCTAAAATGTACTGGCCCATTCCCTGAGTCTCTTAATACCGTTTAAGCTACTTATGACAACGCAAATTTATCATGCCAAACAGGAAGTGTAATAACGCTTTTACACCCCCCCCCCCGTGCCTTGATGTTCCTTTGCCTCTATCTCCCCCATGATTCATGAATTTTCATAAATTTCCTTATAACAACATCTCCCCTTTAGTAGATTTCAGCCTTTTAATCTGTGATTATACATAATGATTCTTAATTTAAAGATACAGGTAACACCTTGTGGGTGGGAGCGAAAGATATCACAGAATACTGACAAGTTTCCTTTAGTTCTGAGGTTTTAAAAAAATACCTGCTTACATTGTGGTGTCTATATTCTAGATCATTGGTGCCGCAAAAAGTTTAAATACTGGAAAGGTGTAGCTTTGCTAAGGTATGGCAGAGACAATAATTTCAACGAGATAGGTGTTCTTTACCTTTTAGACGGTAAAGAACCTTTACCTTTTATTCACCGAAAGCGATTCTTGATCAGAAAGCATCAGATAACCAGTGAGACATATAAGCTGAGATGATTTTCAAGTCAGTTCTCCATTATTAATGAATGAAGTGTTCAAAGCATACTTTAGTATGTATTTACTTCCCTGAATGATCTCTGTAATTCTCCTCCACTCCTACTTTCCATTCCCCAACCCGTCATTCTCCTGCTCCTGGTGGGCGTTTAGGAAATATCCATTAAGCTTAATACTGGTTTAAATGAAACTTATTTAAGACTATTCTGATGTTAATCCCTGTATCGAGTTAAAGAAGACTGAAGTAATTTTTTTCAGTTGTCTGCATAGTGAAACTCAAACATTCCATTATGCCTCAGCAGTCCAATTAGTTTAAAATGTATTTGAATTAGACAACTTTATAAACATAAGACAGTTTAAGCAGCAGCTGACAATCTGGAGGGTATGCTACAATGGAATATAAATACATGTAACAGCATAAAATCAGTATATTATCACTCCACAGGGCCTTAAAATCATACTCAGCTCATATTCTAAAAGGAGTATGAAATGCTAATCCTCCTTTCTAGATGGAAGACACATGGTTATAGCACCAGCTCTGCAGAGAAATCTTCCTTCTTCCCACATACAGCATGTGCCATCCACTCCTTAGATGCCCATTTAAGAAAAAGCCTGGTTGAATTATTCTATGTATCACTAGTTTAATAGCAAAGCCCTACTCAGCCTCTTCCAAAAAAAGCAGGACTCATCTGTGAAGATAAATACATGTTATATATGAAAAGGAAAAAAAAACCAAGTAGTATCCAGTAACCACAGGCATCATCGCCAGTTAAAGTCTTTCCCTCAATAAGAACAGTTCTTACTGTTTTACAAGTGTTTGCTGGTGGCATTATCCCAAATGCAAAAAGACAGATGTCAGCATCTTCAGTTTCCTGGTCCTAAACTCCTCTCCTGTTCACCATGCTTCACGCACAGACACTAAAAACCTACTGCTATATTGAGATGCAAAGAGATTTTAAAGGGGACTTTGCAATGTCCTGTTTCTTTAATGTTTTAGATAATCTTCCCAATTATGACTCATTTTCTCCCACCTACTTCCTTATTTAAACTTTCCCTGCTTGAGAGTCAGCTTTTAAAGTTAATTCACTAACCAGGAGAAAATAAATCACTGGCTCTTTGTCTATTTGGGATTTTTTTCCAGGGCCAGGGAACATTGTACCATGACACGGATTTCATTTCAGTTCAAGTTCTAAAAACATTAATCAATCACTTTTTACTCTAATAATTTAGTATCGATCCTTCTGAATTTCTGCTTATGTTAATGCCAGTTAAGACACGACACCATAAAAATAGACTGAGGACTTGGATTTTTCATTTACAAATGGTCCTATAATTGTCCAATTTTCAATTCTTTAGTCTCCTATGTAGACTGTTATTTATAATCAGCAAGACAGACTAAGCAATGGAAACTTTTTTCCTTGTCTTCAGAGATGTAAACAACTTTGTAGCCAGGGAATTTTGTTATGATGTTTTCATTGAACCTTTTATCCAAGAAATTTCAAGTACTTTGTAAAAGCCACACATATTAATCTTTCCAAAGCATTATATTGACGAGAATAAAGAATACAGATGCACCAGTCTTGTTACTTGAATTATAGGAAAGTTTCTGCTGTTAGCACAGGTAAATTATGAACATTTCAAACTAGCAAATCAGTTCTTTGTTAGTGTAGGTTTTGTACATGGGCAGAAACGCCATTTAGGTGGTTCACTGAACTGCTGCCCTCTTGAGAAAGGATATGAACTTTCAATTCACCACAGTCTCACCTGTCTCGAGTATATTACTCATGGTTGCTAATCACTGACAGCTTCTACATTTAGGCATTTAAGTTTGTGAACTCTTATATCAGGACACAGACGGACCTGGAAGTAAGGGCACAAGGGGTCCAAGCTATTACTGTGACCCTGGAAAATCGCTTCAGCTTTCTGCAACTCTTTCTACTTCTATAATGAATTGCTGAACTAAGATGGTTTTTAAAGAGCCTTTGAAGTCTGAGATTAAGTTGTTTATTATAAAATTATGTATTAATTAGAAAACTTAAAAAAAAAAAAAGAAGCCTAGAAATGTTTCCATATTCATTTGCTAGTCATCCAGATCTACTTCTCTGACTAGATTAGTGCCTGAATAGTGAAGATTACCCCACTTTCTCTTGTTTAGCTCATAAACATTAGGGATGCAGCCCTTTCAGCTAGAGCAACAAAGGACTTTTTTAAATATGAAAGCAAAAACAATATGCATGTGGTTTTCCTATATCAAAGTCTTCACACTGTTCTGTCTCTGGACATCACAACAGTGATCAACAGAAATTATACAAGAAGAAAAAGTGAGAGATCTCCTCGTAGCACCAGCTCTGCAGAGAGTAGGGGAGTAGGGGAAGAGTAGGGGAAGCACCCATTAGCAGCCGGAGCATAAGGACTGCAGGGTGGGTGATCTGACCCATTCATTTCAGGGGCGCTATGAAGGAGTTTTCATGCAGCAGCAGACCAGGCCGTGGGTCCTGCTACTCGGCGGCCAGGCTCACCCTTTACCTTCAGCTCCTGGTGCTGGTCCAGCTGGTCCGGGTCGAGAGGGCTTTCTCCGTTTTCCCCCTCCTGTGCCTTGGCTTCTGTGTCTGCCCCTCCTTCCTCCAGGGGGGGTGCTGCGCCCGGACCTGCAGTCCTCCAGCTACCGTCCCCGGCGCTTCCAGCACCGTCGCTCGCTGCGGGCCACGCAGGGCCGGGGGCAGTCACGGATCTGTCTCCATTCACTAAGTCTGCGCTGAGCAAGCCTTCAGGAGGAGTATCTGGGCTCCAAGGGGCTGCGTTACCGTCCTCGTCTTCCATCTGGTTCTGCGCTGCCGCCGTCACACCGTTGGCCACCCCCGTCTGCACACCCTGCGGCTCCGTCTCATCTCCCTGCCTCTGGTTGGGGCCCTGGGAGGGGGTTTTCTGCTGAGGCGTGGTCACCAATCCATGCCTTCCCGGGGTCCAAGGAGCATTCAGGTTCATAGCACACTCTTTCTTCAAATCACTGTAATTTGATAATGCGCTACAAGATAAAATACAAAGAAGTGTGAAAACACTGGCATGGAAACGTTCTAGAATAAAGACAAGGTGGTTCCATCTGAAAAGGGATGTTTAGTGAAGAGCATCTTTCCTCTAATGGTTCTAGAAGCCCGGCCTAGGACAGTCCAGGCAGTCCTCAGGGTCTTGAGGGGCTGGGATGCATGCTGCTGCCTCCCTCCCCACCACTCCTCCCAGACGCTGCTCATCCGTACAGGACGGTGGCTCAGGACACTCGGGGAGGGAAAAGGCGCGTACGCTCAGCAGCACAGGAAGGAGAGGAAAAAACTGGTGGAGAGAAGCTGGCGGCTGTCAATATGATTAAGTGGCACTCACACCACCGCTGACATTTGCTTTCGAAGAGAGTACGCCCTCAGCTTAGGTAATTTCCCAAGCAGACCAGGGAGATTCAAATCACACTGTCCCCCTTTCCTGCCCACATCAGTGTCCAGGAAGCCAGTGGCAGGATCTTCTGAGCCAGACTTAAGGCTTGGTTAGGAGTGTTAGACAGGACTGTTGTAAAGGAGGCGGGAATTCCCTGGAACAAGTGGCATCCAGGGGCCATGCATGCGGGTCCGGTAGGGAAGGGGTGGGACAGCAGAGAGTAAAGTCAGAGCTTGAACCAGTCCACGGCAGACCCCTGCGGCTCTGTGGGTGCCAGACGGGGGGAGGGCGGCGAGGGAAAGCTGGCTTAATGGTGTCCTTGGGAAAGGAAAGCGTTCAGTTTTGTGGGAAAATATTCTTTCTTTCTAGAATCTGGAGGTTTCATATGTTAAAAAGGCTGATTTCTCTTACTCTCAAATAAAGAAATCACTGTAACAAGTAAATAAACAGAATTTACTTGCTTCAAGTACATCCCCCAAATCATTCGTCCTAATGAAACAATGTTCCTTGGATTATGGCAAAGAGCAAAATTATGATACGTGGATAAGGTCTTAACAGTGGACCCGGTCTAGGACCCAACTCCTCCTCTCAGTGCCTGTGCTCGGTCAGAGCCTGCCCAGCCTTCCTACCCACAAGTGCCGTTTTAGCTGTAGAAGGTGGGATGACAGGCCAACGCCGCCCTGCAGGCACACGGACACCCCTCAACAGGAGGCACACCCATCCCGGCGAAGGCCCAGAGCCCCGCTGCAACACCAGGAGACACTTTTAGGGCCAGTTCCTACTGGGAGGCCCTCACTTCGAGCAAGAGTTGTTTTTCCCATTGGCAGTGGATTCTGCCACAGGTCACGCCTCTTCACCAGATTTGCCCAAATGCTCCAATTACGATCCTATCTGCACTTGGAACAAGTTTGCTTAAAATGTTGTACACTACAGCCCGTCTCTCCTTTGATCCAACCTTCAAGATTTGCAGCAAAAAATGACTTGGGATCTGTGAAGTCTGAACAAGTAAAAGAGAACTGGTATTAATAGGTAGAAAAACTATGTACATTTTGTGTATGGAAAAAAAAAGCAAGCAGTGCTACCAAAGGGTGAGGTTCAGATGATTAGTCTTTCGGAATATGAGGACCCATCCGCGGCTTCCCAAAGCTGCCCCCACATCTGGGGACACATGCGCAGGCAGTTAGGAGTCAGGGCTCCGGACCCTCCTTATCACCTGCAGTCACTGGACATGACCTTGGGAATCCCCAAATGTGGGGTCACTGTCTGTGCTGCTGGGTAAATTTGCCCTGAGAAACTAAAAGCTATTAAGTGCAGTTGAATCATTCTAGTAACGATTAGTATAACTGAAGACAGCAAAGGTATTAAAAATCATACTTCAGAGGGAGAAATGCTGAGGTTTATGATTTAAGTTCCCACAATTGATTAGGGATAAAAAAGACAGGCTTCTGAACTACTTTGCTCCAGAACTTGTTACTAAATATAGCCTCATTTTAAATGAGGGAGATGGTAGTTTTGTACTCGTTCATTACATCTAGAGAATTTTTAAAGTATTTCCAAGCTGTGATCTGTTACATAAATGACAATAAATCCTGCAAATAATGAAATTACTGAATGGGATACCATTCTTGAATACTACACTGGAGTGAATAGAACTATGTGACCTAAAGGATGAAAGTGAAGTTATATATATTGTTCAATGAAATACAGACAGATAAAAAAAATCCTGCTGATAATTAAAAAAAATTCCAAGTCAGGGATGGGAATTCTAAGAAAAAACAATTGAGGAAAGCAACTTGTATGAGTCTGTTTTCATTTTTAAGTGAGAAATAAATACCATTCACCTACCTTTTTTGAAACATTACGACTACAGAATATAAAATCATATCTAATAAACACAAAATGGAAATTTAGTCTGGACTTTGCTATCAGCGATATCTCCTCACAAAACCTAGTTCAGTACAAGGAAGGGTACGAGGCAGGGCGGGGAAATGAACTGAGTGGATACAGAAGACCCACGTCAGACAATGTGGATCAGAAAGAGGAGAAGGCCACAGAAATGGGAGGCCCACAGGAGTTATGTTAGAAGTCAATGAAACGCACAGTGATTGACAACCTCCGGCCTCTCCAACTCAGATATCAAGCAACCAACAGAAGGCCCCCCCAGGAGCAGCTCACCGAGAGACACACACCGCAGGGGAGGAACCAGGAATAAGCGGCCGACAGCTCTACACGGCACACAGGGCAGAGGGTAAGCTGGGGGCCCGGCGCTGCACACAGGTAACGCAGAGCAAGCGACAGTTCGTATTAGGGCAACATTAAGTATTTTTAAAAATCTACTCTTTCTAAAGGCTTGCCAAACCCAATGGAATATACTGTTTTTTTAGTTAGAAAAATCTATGGCTATCGCGATTTTTAAACACCAGCTTTCCTCTCCCCTCTGCCTTCTTCCATTGTGCTTAGTTCTTACCTGCCTCCTTCAAAGCGACTGATGAGGTCTGATACCTTACTGGGTTTTTCTTTTGAGACACAAGAAGCAGAGTCAGGCTTAACTTCCTCCATCCTTGGTTTTGCACTAGATAAAGCTTTATACCTGGGGGTTTGGTGTATATTGGACGCAGGTAAATTCTGCAGATGTAATGGCTTTGGAGGCACTGTAGAAAAAGAATTAATAGAATTCAGTATCTCACTGATATTTATTCTTTAACAAAAAAGAATATTGTGGTGTCCTGGGTGTAGAAATCTTGAGCATTATCATCTTTTGCCAAGGGGTCTGTCAGATTTGTACAGAGCCTTAACCAAGGACCTCCATCTACCCTGAACATCTGCTCTGCACCCTGGGGAAATTCCATCTCTAAGATGCAAGTGGTCCTTTTAATTTTAGGTCATTTTAAATGTGATTTTATTAAACATCTAGGCATCTACAGATGGCTATGGGCTTCCAATTTCTATTAGAGGTAGCATAGCAGTTATTTGCCTAAACAGAGAAAATTAAGTGCTTCACCTTGAAATTCCTAAGGATACATTGCTTACTACAAAACAGTTTTTCTAAGAATAGAGCGACAATGGATATTCCCGAATCCAGAGCAGATAGACACAAAAGCCAGCAGCAAAGCAATAACAAACAACAGTAATGAGATGTTGTGTCACTGTAACATCTTCCCATATAACAAAAGTACCTTATCTCATTTGGTCTTAATGGAAATTTTTACGGTCCAGAGGTAGGTTCCATTATTCACCTCTAATGACTAAGGAGGCTTACAGAGGTTAAGTGATGTGCCTGGGGTAGCGAGGGCCATCTGACTGCACGCCTGGCCCCCTGCCTCTAGCTCCTGTTGTCATCAGCCCTGCTCCTTGCCCCTTAATCCAGCAAAAACGGGTTGCAGAGGCTCTATTGTTATTATTGTCTGTTACATTCACAGTTGGTGTGCATTAACAGACCGCAAATTATTTGCTTCCTAGTAAATTCTTCGCTCAATAAATAGGAGCAGACCATTTCCTGAAATACTACAGAATTTCCCTAACAGATGAGGAATTCTGTAGATGAGAGAATATAACATGTCATGTCGAATGAGCATAGGAATTACTTCAAGTTTGAAAAACAGTTATCATTTTTCCCTTAGATTAATATTTTGGGTAAAAGATTACATAACATGTATGTGTTTTTCTATAACTGGTTTTAAATCAAATAAAATCATCTTTGTGTTTTTCTTAAATCCATCTCCTAACTTCTGGAATAAGGGTGGAGAATCATGTCTCCTAATTACATGCCCCATTTTCCTCCAGTTACCCTCGTTTTCAGTAATCTCATCTCTTCTATAAACTCAGCGGGCTGACAGTCGCCTGATGCTCACTGGCCTAGATTTCGTCATTTTGTGCCCGTTACCAGTTCATATGCATATATATGCATAGGTGTGTGTGTGTGTATATCTCGCAGTGAGCTACAGATGTACCGATGGATACACCTCATTCTCTTTCAACGGAAACAAGAAGGAAATCCCGAGGACAAAATGACGTGTTTACTATGAAAATGCATTCTGAGACACGCTTAGGGGCGATGCTTAAAGACAGTATCCACTGGGAAGGAAGGAGCCTCTACATGAGTTATTTGTTAATTTTAAGGAAAATTTTCCTATATAGTATACCAAAATAGTAAAATAAGACAATATCCCACCAAAAAAATAGTTTTCACATTAGGAATAATTTCAATATTCCAAACTAGAATATTTGAAGGAGTATGTTCTTTAGAATTCTGTGTATAAAGATGTTATGAAATGACTTACCCATCTAACCTAGGATTTACCCAGTCAACACTCTTTATTATGTGCCAGACACTGTTAGATGCTTGAATGGCTCAAATGAAACAAGATGTGTCAGCCAGCTTCTCAGCAATAACTCCACTGGCTTTTCCCATGTCAATATGTCTATTCATCAACTGTTTCCACACTGTGTTCTACTTTTCTTCCAAAGGACTTATAATAAATTATTATATCATTATTAAGTAGCAGTAAGTAGTATTAAAATAATAGATCAACAAATAAAATATTAAATACATTATACATGTAAGGTTTTCTCTTCCACAAGTCTGCAATTTTGTGAAGATAGGGAATGTTTTTCAATCAAAACTGTACTCCCAATATCCACCCTCAGAGTCCTCGGTAAATCTGTGGGATACATGAGGGCACTAATTAATGTGTCAACAAGGAGCTCATATTCTAGTGGGGAAACAGTTTAATGATGTTGATATGGTGGGTATTAGGTACATGGTTATTTCAGAAGCACAGAGAGGGCCTCTATTCAGCAAGAGAGACAATACAAATGTACAGTAAACCAGTAAATATACACGTTTTAAATAAAAGCCCAAGTGTTACATGTATATGACAAAAATCTCAAGATGGTACATTAATGGTTAGTGTCAGAAACACTGTGTCAGAGGAAAGTAGTGTGAACTTTGGTACGGTTTCACTTAACTGACAAATGAAAACGATTTCCCTCTCTCCCTCTCACCATTTCTTATCCTTCTTACACACCACAGAGGTCGGTGTTCCCAATGCTCTGTGGACACCTCCGAGGTGGTCCTACCAGTACCCCTGGTTCATGACAGCTAAAATCATCTTACCCTTCTTCCCCGAGAGTCCAAAGGATGTAAAAGGGAAAAACAGTGTTCAACTTAATTAATAATCAGGGAAATACAAATTAAATCAACTATGTGATACCACTTCAACCCTATCAGGTGAACCAAAAATTTTAAGTCTCACAATACCAAGTGTCGGTGAGGAGATGAAGTAATGTGAACCCTCACACATGTTCAAAAGGAGTATAAATTAACACAACCATTAAGAACTCGACATTTCCAAAATACACCCCCTAGATAAATTCTTACTAATCTAGACACAGCTTTAAAAATTTTATTTTTACTTTTTCACTAATTCGACAAATATTTATTGAATACCTACCGAGCCTTATGCACTTGATCATATCAATGAACAAAAGGTAAGGTAAGAAACAAAAAAACATAGCAAGAAACCATTCATCAGAAGGTGGCAAGCGCTAAGGGGGAGCGGGAGGGGCTCTGGGGTTGTAGGGACGGGGAAAAGGCAGGTCGGGATATCAAGGTGGATGTTCAAAGTGGGCCTCTGAGTAGAGACTTGAACAGGACTTGAAGAAGTAGGCGAGTTATCTGGGGAACAGCACTCCACCAGGTAGAGGGAAAGCCAGAGGCCAGCGGAAGCCAGTGTCACTGCGGCCACAGGAGCGAGCAGGCAAGAGCAGGCGCTGAAGGCCTGGTAATGTGGGTCCTGCAGTGCCCCGGGAGGGCCTTGACTGGGAGTGAAATGAGCCCTCACTGCAGAGTTCTGGGCAGAGGGGGACGTGATAGAACTTAAATTCCAGCAGCATTGCCCTGGCTGCTGGGTTATGCAGCAGGGGAGCAGGTGGAAGCGGCCAGTAGAGTTGGAGGTTATTCAAGAAATACAGGCAAGAGATAATGGTGCTTAGGAGGAAGTAAGAAATAGGTTTCAGGTACATTTTAAAAGCAGTCTTCCTAACAAATTAAATGGGAGGTGAGAGGAGTTGAGGAAAACTCTTTGAGACCTTTGGCCTGAACAACTGGAAGGATGGGATCTTCATCAACTGATGCAACAGGTGAAGAAATTTTTGGAGAGAAGAAAGGTAATCCAGTTACGGACGTGCTGAATTTGAGATGATTAGTTGACACTAAGTAAAATTAGTTCTATTACAGCCAATTTTACAGACAGTAAATATCAAGAAAACAATTTAATTATTCAAAAATGTCCAAGTATACAAAATAATTATTGAGAATGAAAAGAGAAACTACTTTCCAGTGTACGTTTGGGCATTACCAGATTTTGATTACCCTTTTTATTTACTACGAGAAATAATAGCTAGCCATATATTAATGCATTATAAATTATAACATTACACTTGAATGGAACATTACACAGAGTGGTTTATGTTAGAAGTCAATGAAATTATGTTAGAAGTCAATGAAATTATTCAAACAGCAACATGGCTCTCAAAGTTCATGAAGCTTTTAATTAAAGTTTAATGATTGAGAAAGTGATACTATGTGGGCTTTACCAAAATAATTAAGTATGGAGAATGTTAGATCAAAGCTCCTAAGAGAAAAAGAACTATTAGCTTTAACTGCTAAGGAAGTTGCTTTGAGTTATGGCTAGCATGGCAGGAAATAGGCCAATATTTAAAGTGGTGAACAAGCAGAGAGACTTATGTTGGAAGTTGCTCAGTAATTTATTTGACTGGTAGGAAGGGTGTGAAGTGAATAAACCTTTGCTCTCCAAGGTCTTAGGGATTTCCTAAGGCTGAGGTAGAACTCCTATTGAAGGAATCCATTTCAAAAGCTACAGGCTCCAATTCTGATTCAAATATAGGCTTATCTAATCTATAATTTAGCTCTTTTATCCTTTTAAAAACCATAACTCTTCAAAAATATTTACTTATTGGTAATTTTTTAAATTGATATATGATATGATATTAGTTTCAGGTATGTAACATGATTAATGAATTGATACTTATATACATTAAGAAATCATCTCCACAATTAAGTCTAGTTAGTGCCCATCACCACACAGTTACACATTTTTTTGTGATGAGAACTTTTAAGATCAACTCTTAGCAGATTTCAAATATATAGTACAATATAACTGACTCTAGTCACCATACTTTACATCCCCAAGACTTATTTACTTATTGGTAATTAATAAACACAAAAACATAAACCTGATGTTGTTCCAGACACAATACTAAATAATAATAAAGGTACCCAATATTGTCTCTCCTTTTAAAAATCACCCAAATAAATTGTAGCTATGCTAGTATTAGTATGCCACATAAGAAACACACAAGATTGGATTATGAGCTCCTTTTAGGTGGTCCTCAGGCCGTATCCATGTCAGCAGGGGAGGTGGAACACGGAGGAACACAGATGGGCCAGACACAAAACTGTCTCTTCAGTTAAATAAAAATTATATAATGGATTGTGACACCTCAGCAGCTGCACCATGATTTGTAAGGGATTTGCGGTGACGTGGGAAAGAAGGTGTCAGTGTGATAACCCCTCCTTCTGTGTGGGGAGTCCCATCAGCACCCCCCCCCTTTCTTGGCCTCAGTCACCCACATGCTCTCAAGGGTTTGGAGAAATTAAAAGTAGTTTCTCTCCTCTAGAGGTTGGGGAATACTTATTATCCGTCAGCAAACAGTGCCCAATCTATGTGGCGGCTGATGACACCATCAAGATGTAGCCTAATTTCCAGGATGCTGGTTTGTATATACGGTGCCCATTCTAAGTTTTAAACAAAGAACGGCGAAGACAGCGGAGAGGAAATGTGTCACATGAAGCAGGGATTCATTCAGCAAGTTTCAGTGAAGGCCTGCCATGCCACAGGCCGGAGGCAGGGAAAAACCAACGCGGATGAGTGAAATGGATAGGAGGTCGGACTGTAAGGAATGAGACTAAATAAAGTAGGAATGGAGAAATAGGAACTATTAGGGGTGAGGGTGGGATTAAAATTTATTTTGAGGTGGGGGGAGGGAACAGAAATGGGCCAGACAACAAGTGAGAATATTGTCGGTGGGGTGGGGGGGGGAGTATAAAGTACTCTATGTGGTTCATTTAGTATCTGGAAATACTCCCTATTTTTATGTAAAATTGTATATAATTAACCTATACTCAAGATAGGGAGTAGACACCAGTTGGATATTTTTATATATAGCTAGCCATATATTAATTAATTATATTAAAAATGGCAACATATTGACTGTGATACGACTACAAAGAGCAGAAGCCACATCGGTGCTGTCCCCCTAAGGAGTGTGATTGCTGTGGCACAGGGCAGCTCAGAAAGGAGCTGCTGTGACTTAACTCAATGAACTTTGAAAAACAATGAAGTAATGCAATGCATCTTCTCCCAAACCCCCCCCCCCCAAAAGGTGTTTTAAATAATGAAACTCTTGCTTTTGATCTGGGCAAATTACATAAAGTTGAATTGTATTCATTTGTTATATTCTTACCCTATTTGATCTTTTGTCAGCTCAGGTCTAATAAGCAAGATGGAGCTTTGTATTTTGCAAATAAAATGATTTAAACCATGATCCAAAAATTTGCTATGTTCATAGTATATCAGTATTACAGGGAGGAGTATGGTCAAAAGAAAAGGTTATAAACTCATGAATGGGCTATTCATTTGGATCACCAATGATTTGACCTTGCTTGGTAGCCATGTCCCATCCCACCACCAATACAGCTAGTAGTGAGAACAAAAAAGAAAAATATCCCATAATTTCAAAGATTCCATTTTAAACCCCTTTAAAACGTCTCTTTCAGAAATCCTTAAAACCTAAGGAGTTTAGAGAGCAACACCAGTTCTTTTATACTACATTGTCTAGAGCACTTTTTTCTTTGCAAGAACAGGAAAGAAACCAAAGTTAATACAAAATAAACTGACTAGAGATTGATTTTTCCATATTTTTGAAATATGCCTAGTATTTTGAAATTGTCCAGTATTGCTTCTTGGCTGAATATTCAGCATTTGGTATAAGTAAAAATCTATTAGGGAGACACTACACATTAAATCATAGTAGAACTTAGTTTTGTTACATTTCAATAGGCCTTGTGCTCTGTAATCAAAATTATAATTTTGTGCTTCTCAAAATTAATTGATATTTATTTGTAAAAAAAAAAAACAGTCACTGTGGTAGTACATCATGGAGAATATAGTCAATGATTCTGTAACATCTTTCTATGTCAACAGGCAGTAATTGCACTAGTTCAGGTAAGGATTTCATAATGTGGGTAACCACTGTGTTGTACATTTGAAACCAACGTAAGATTGTATATCGATAGTTCAAAAAAAAAGTCGTTGAACAAAACATTCAAAGATTGCTGACATTATAATGATTTTTCCCCTTCTTGGTGGTTCAATCCCTGAATTCAAGGAATCTTTACTTCTAATGTCTGTGGATAACTTTACTAAGACACCTTTTCAAGCTCCAGTTCCTAATATATAAAATTGCATATTTACCAAGTAGATTAAGCACTGTTTCAGAATTCTCTATTTCACAGATCCTCTGACATTCAGCAAGTCATAATGGCTGCTTGACAGCACTTCCAAACACTCATTCATCTGTCACACATTTCTAGGGCAAAGAGTGAGTCAGGGCCCGTGCGAGGTCAAGCATAACGCCTGAAGCGCTCACAGTCCCCTGGGGCTATGTGAACGGTCTCAGCCCTGTGAAAGGACCATAACATAAAAACGCATAAGGAGAGTTTTGGGAGCAGAGCAAATACCCAACTCTGCCTGAAAAGAGTCACAGACTGACACCCAATTCCTCCCACTTTAACTTTAAAATCATTTTTAGTGGTCATTCTTCTGCCTGGCCCTTCCTTCATCAACGAACAAAGCCCCTGACCTGACCAAAAACCCCTCTCACATACCTTGTGGCTTCGGATTGGCAGCCGCGCGTTTTGCTGGAGTATTTCCATTTATTCCCTGAGCCTCTTCTTCAGATACATTCTCATCAAGCAGTGTGGTTGTGCTGCTTGTCAAACAAGGCGGGACAAAAGTGACCTTTGGACAGGTACTGCTGCCTGCAAGAGTTCAAAAGAAGGCCCAGGTGAATGCGGAGGCAGAGCGTGGCGAGGTCTCATGACTGCCATCCTTCTGAACCCACTCAACAAAAACGACCACCACTGCAAGACTAAGCATAGGAACAGTCTCCCCATGCGTCTGGCCTCGACGAAGAGTTTCCCTGGGAAAGATCTCATTCCACGTGCTCGAGAAGCTGTATAATGCATGCTGGCAGAGGATGCTACCGCGGGCACCTGCTCCTCTTTCCTGCAGGGCCACGGAAAGGGCAGCACGCAGCTGCTCTGGTGCAGGTGACGGAGAGGACCGGAGGGCCCTGCACTAACCTGCTCAAAGTGTTCCTTTCCAGCATCCTGTCAGTCACCTGTCACTGAGCGACTCAAAAGAACCAGGGAAAAGCATTGACACGACAGCTGACCTACAGACCTACAGAAGCATGGCTTGAGGAAAATGAACAAACACACACACCCTTCACACTACCAGCTCACTCAGGCTCCAACTCAACATATATAAGCTAGCAGGACCCAGGTTTTCTTGGGAGAAAAAAAAAAAAGGTAAGATTATACACAGATAATACTGTCTTATTTATTTACAACTCAAAATCCTCAAGTATTCTTTAAAACACTGAAACACATCATGAGACAGAAATGAAGGAGAATAGATCAATTTTTTTGTTCAATAAAAGAAGTAAAATGTTGAATTTAGGAGACTTCTAAAGAAATCCTATGCCAATGTGTTCTCTTCAAAGTCATATTAAATTTCTCTTTCTTCTAGTTGACATTGTGATATTAAGAATAGACTGGACCCTGCTTATGAGAAAATAAAATCCTGCCAGATATGTCATATAAGAATCTAGGATTGGTTAAAAACAAGAGTTTCATTTCCACAGAATCCAAGTATCTAATATATTCAGAGTGCTGAAAAAAAAAAAAAAAAAACCTATTAGAGATAAAAAGCCTTAATTATTCAAATCAAGAAAAGCTAATGAATCCCAATTAACTTTCTACAGGGTAAAAAAATTCCCTTTTATTTCAAATAATTATTAAACTGTATTGATTAAAAAGCACACTGTGCTTAATTTTCTGTGCTCCTGTTAAAATTTATCTTGGTAAAACAAATTTTATAACAAAGTAACAGTTGCAAGTATTGTCTGAGAAGTTATGAGAGAACCAGTTTTAAAACAAATTAAATGGGTTTCTATGGGACACTCTTCTGCTAAAATGGGCTGCCAGTGGGATTAGGCATGTGTTTAGCCAAATATAATGGAGGTTTGAGATGCAAGACTTATAGAAGGTTACTTAAAAGCATATTACTGAAATTGTAAACAGAAGAAATAAAGGCTCAAATTTTTAAATATGTAAGCTTATCTACCTCCTCAGAGAAACCATGTGAAGTAGGTGAAGGTTATCTCTAAAATTCACAGTCTACCATTCAACCACTTAGGGTCTTAGGAGCATTAGGATGTTTGTGCCACAGTGATCCCCAAAAGTGACTTGTATCCTAAAGGCCACCTGCTGGGGTCTCCTGCAGGATGGCCTTGGGGCAGAAGCAGTGAGAAGCCACAGCCCAACTACAAACCACAGGCAGAAACTGTCATGTGAAATGAGTCACTGAAAGAAACAATGTAGCTTTAGAGATGATTGGTAACAACAAAACTATAAAAAAGGGGCAGCTAATAGGCCACAGGAGAAAACAAATTGAATTGAATCTTGAAAAACTGGATCACCACTGTTGCATATTGAAGGGTCATATTTATTAGAGTATCTCTCATGAATGCACCAAAACGGTAGCAGTAAGAGAGGAACTACATCCATTCTCTTAAAAATCCATTAAAGTCACTATTACAAATCTTTTGCCAGTGGCAATAAAGACACAGCCAGAGCTTCACTTCAGATCATTGCTTAAAACCAGTCTCCAAGCTTCTGCCAAGAATCGAAAGCATGAAAATACAGTGAAAGACCCAAAAAACACACTTGTAAAATATTCAAAAAAAAGGAACAGCAAATGTGCGACAGAGACCGTATGTGGTTACAAAGCCAAAACCATTTACTAGCCAGCCCTTTACAGGAAAGGTCTGCTGTACAGTGGTCTAGGTCAAGCACATCACGGTAGAGGAAGTTTGCCTAAAAGAAGCATCATTTCTCTAAACACTTCATCTTCTAACATCTTGGAAGCCAGCAATACAGAGCAAAATTTCTTGCTTGTTTACTGCTGACTTGGCCTGCTCACATTTGGAGGTAATCCTTATTTGGGTGCAAGTTGCATAACAGGGATTTGAAACCAAAATTGCAACCAGATGGTCCACTCATTCAAAAAATTTTATATTGACTATAAAGGCTTTTAGAGTCCAGTTTATCAAGAAAAACCAGTAGGAATGATGAAACATCCTTCCGGGCACAAAGAACTAGTTGCATTATGTTAGGGTAGGGAGTGGGGTCCTATTTTAACACTGTCTCCTCTTGGAGATTGATAACCTTTTTAGCCACAGGTCCTAACCATTTCACGTTCTTCTCTTTTTGGGTTACTTACTTATGCTCACTGGGTCCTACCTCCTGTAGGGAATGTCTAGACGTACATAGTTTAAATTAATCCAGCCTTGTCTTAGACTGCAAAAGGCTCCCTGTTCCGACGGGAGAGGTTGCCTCTATGGTTTAACTTTCATTTATTTATTTACCTGTCTTGTTTTGCATGACACTTGTAGCAGATGATCCCCCCGACTGGTTAGGGTGACTTTGTCTCCCATTTGCAGATTTTGTATTGAACTGTTATGTTTTGCTAAATCATTCTTGAATGGAACTTTCACATCTTAAGGGTTGAATTTACTCTCTGGTCATCCATTCCAAAACAAAGTCCACTTAGTTGTCTGACTCTTCACACCTGATCACTTGCCACAATATCCATGACCTCAGATTGCATCCTTATGGCACTGTTTACTGCCATGTCCACACTGCCTCCCCAGTGATATCCTAAACATTTCTCCCTCATGCACTAAATCTCCATCCAGCACAAAAGATCTTGATGGAATCCACCCCTTGGGACAAAAGATCTTTTAGATTTGAGAGGACAGAAGCAGTTTTAGAGGGGAGACAATCTTTTTGGAATACATTGTCCAGAAGTAAAGAGATACCTTAAAAAAACAAGGTTTACTTTGAAATAATTTTGGATTTATAGAAGAGCTGCACCCAAGTTCCTAAAACTAGCATCTCATGTAACCATGGCATATTTATCAAAAAACCCGGCACCCAGGGTTTTCCTAATGTTAGAATCTTTTAACACCATGGTACATTTATCAAAACTAAGAATTTCATATTGATACAATACTAAGCCACAGATTTCATTCAGATGTCACCAACCTCCCCACTAACATCCTTCTTCTGCTACAGGATCCGATCCGAGGTACCGCGTTGCGCTCAGTTCACATGCCGCCCTACCGCGCTCTGGCCTGCGAGAGCTGCCCAGTCTCTGCTTGTCTTGCACGACCTTGGCACCTTCGAAAAGTACCAGTCAGATATTTTGTAGAGTGTCCCTCAAACTGGGTTTCTCTGATGTTTCCTCATAATTAGACTGGGTTTATAGGCTTGACGGTAGAACATCACAGAAGGGATGTACCCAGCTCAATGAGTAACATCATTGCACAATATCAATGTGATTATCACATGAGGTGTTAACCTTGGTCTCTAAGTAAGGTGATATCTGCCAGGTTTCCCTACTGGAAAATATTCCATCTATTATAAGACATATTCAACAATCTTTCTCCCCACTTGTCCCACAGATTCCAGATAAGGGCAATATCTCCTATGTGCCACCTAACATGCCCAGATTGAGAGATCTATTTTAAAAAATAGAGTGATTAAGGTTATAAAACTCATAGTTTACAACTCTTTTGCCAAGGGCAACAAGTTCACAGCCAGGAAACTTACTTTAGAAAACATCTCAGTTTCCCAAACTTAGAAATCAATAACAACATTTCCAGGAAATATAATAAACCATGAAAGATCTTAGAAAAGAAAATATGATAGTTTAAGAAATGTCCTCGGATGTAGGAATTCTACTTCTAGGAATCTAATGTGCAGACATAGTCCTATGTGTGTTAAAGAATATGCACAGTCAATGCAATGTGACTGAACACATGCAGCTCTACAGAAGCTTTTTAGTTTGATGTAGTCCCATTTGTTCATTTTTTATTTTGTTTCCCCTGCCCAAGGAGATATGTCCAGGAAAAAACTGCTCATACTTACGTTCAAGAGATTTTTACCTATGTTTTCTTTTAAGAGTTTTATGGTTTCATGACTTACATTCAGGTCTTTCATACTTTTCAAGTTTACTTTTGTGTATGGATTTAGATAATAATTCAGTTTCATTCTCTTATATGTAGTTGTCCAGTTTTGCCAACACCAGTTGTTGAAGAGACTGTCTTTTCTCCACTGTATATTCATGCCTCCTTTATTGCATATTAATTGACCATATACGCATGGGTTTATATCTGGGCTCTCTATTTTGCTCCATTGATCAATAGTAGTGGACTTAAATACCTAATTTATATCAATGGATAATTCATCCAGCCAGAAAATCAATAAACATACATCAACCTTAAATGACATGTTAAGCCAGATAAACTTAATACACATATACAGAACATTCCGTCTGAATACAGCACAATACATATTCTTCTCAACTGCATATGGAACATTCTCCAGGATGCCCCATAAGTTAGGTCAGAAAACATCTTAACAAATTCAAGAAAACTGAAATCATATCATGCATCTTCTCATACCACAAAAGCATCAAACTAGAAATCAATTACAAGAAGAAAACTGGAAAAATCATAAATGTTGAGATTAAACAATATGTCACTCAAGAACCAACAGGTCAATGAAGAAATTAAAGGGAAAAAAAAACCTTCACACAAATGAAGTGGAAATACAATACACCAAAACCCACAGGTTGCAGTAAAAACAGTTTAAGAGGGAAGATTACAGTAATACAGGCTTACCCCAAGAAA